TGTGATGTGGGATGCCATGCTGCCAAGCACTTCTTGATTGCTAGGACTTCTGCTGCAGATCTCAATTGGGATCGGACACTTGCCTAAACAAAGTTTCCGAAGCTTTCCACTAAAGAGCCCTGAATCCCCAAGAAGAACGACCCTGTCATCGCTCAGGCTGGCCTTCGTGATGTGAATCTATCCATCAGCTCCCGGAGAAGCCTGCTTCAAGTACGGTTGCTCAACTTCATGAATGGCTTATAAATGTAAATGGACTTCACACTTGCGTTTTGGAGCCTCTTTAGCGGATCAAATATCGGTTGCCTTCTGGAGCCTTCGGTGTTTCTTGACCACGTCTACTCACGTTTTGGAGCCTTCATTTTTTGTTGATCACAAGATTTGAATCAGGTTTGTACTGAGGTAGCCTTTCTGGGGTTTACACACTTGCCCATGTAGATTTCTTCATGCGAATGTTCCCAGTTCCACTCCGAGCTTTTTAATATTATTCCCCATAACCTCCCTATACCCATGCCTGATATATAGTCTGAGGGTTCTTCTCGGATGAGAAGGCTGATGCTGAAATCTTGTTTACATCATACTACAAATAACTTCCCAGGTTCTGGAGAATATCCTGGTTATGATTGGATCCATCTTCGTCGTCTATGTGCAGTTTCTACCACGGCTTCAAGGATGCATGTGTAGTGTGGGGTCTTCCTTATAGGTGCACACCGGTCCTGATGCGCAGGATCCGTGGCATACTTCGGGATGCGCTGGCTTCTTCATAGCTCATATGGAGTTCTTACACTTAGCAGGATCCGACAAAATGTGTGGATGCACCCTGATGCTGTGACGAGTTGCGTGCTCCTGTTCATATCATGCATGTAACCTCACAGAAAGCATCTTGCGCGTGCGGAGCCTTAATACATACATCCTCCCGAAGCCAATCATGTTGGGCTCTAAGCTTTGGTCCTGTTCGGACCTGGAGAAAGGGTTCCACGAGATGATGAATGCTACTCCCCAAGAGCAAAAGGAACTTCGCCAGCGCATCAAGGAGATCTTGACTAAGTTATCACATGAGAGATTTCCTTGTAGTCCTATAGACCCCAAACTTGCTTTGTGGCATACTTCTGTTAGGAGCTTCGGGAATTCATCGACCAGGACCCCACGCCTGCCCCGACCATGAAGACGAAAGCGGAGCCGGTGACCTGCGTTCACTAGCTGTCAGCCATTCGTGTCCCTTAAATGTTGCTGCCACTTTTACATTTCCCAAGGCTAGCCCACGTGGTCGATCTACCTCCAAGCGGAGCCCAAGGAAATGCGCTGATAGAATGAGCCCGAAAAGGGTTGCTTTGAAGCGGGCCTCTCCAAAGAGACTTTCCACCTCTGCAGCCTCAAGCCCTAGCAAGCCAAGACCCACCAAGGATGCAAGCCCCAGCAAGCCAGAGTCCAAGAATGCAAGCCTGAGCAAGGCACACCCCAAGAAAGCAAGCCCGAGCAAGCCAGGGTCCAAGAATGCAAGCCCGAGCAAGCCACACCCCGAGAAAGCAAGCCCGAGCAAGCCAGGGTCCAAGAATGCAAGCCCGAGCAAATCAGTCCGATCCGCTTCTGCCAGGAAGTCGACCCCTAAGAAAAATCTGTGCTCAGATTTCGAGGCTACGCTGCTAGTCGACACATCTCCGGAACAGCCTACGCCCGCCACGATTCCTCCTGCTCAGAGAATGGGAAGCCCTGCCCCATCATCAGTAGTCTCCTCTGAGAAAGCTAGTGGTGTCCCTTCCGCTGCCCGGGGTGTGAAACGGGAGAGGGCCATGTTCCCTGCAAAGCCTAGCAAGAGTGCCACACGAAGTGCCAATCCAAATCCAGACTCTCAGCCCTGAACTTGAAACTTTTCCAACCCCGTAAAATCCCCTGAGCTCTACAAACCCTATAAACCCTATGCACCTATATCTATATATACATATATACAGATACCTGTATCCATGTATAGCTAAATTTTGATACATTTATATAGCTATTTATGCTTATATATATATACATATAGTCTTACATGTTTTGTGCACCCCATCAACCCTACGAACCCTTTTTAGCCGGTAATCCCCAAACCTCCTCTTGCCCCAACCCAGGATGATATGACGGACCAGGAGGTCCAGAAGTTGATGGATGAGGAGGCTATGCTTGCTAGACGCCAAGCGGATGTCAAGCAAAGGCTTCTGGCCCTGAACGCCGGCAAAGTCCCTCCCTCTAACTCTAGTGCGGAGCCTCGCAAAGCCCCTCCTTCGGTGGTTCCATCCGAGACCTGTACGGGGTCAGAATCTGAAGATGATCTTGAGGAAGGAGATTTGGGCTTGGGTTTTGGGACAGTTAACTGCCCCAAAACTGGGAAAGCTGCCTAGCTGATATCAATAGTGTATTGCACCCGTGTGAATCTCAAGTTGCATATTGTGAATGCCTACATGAACTGCCAAGGTTCTGACTGAGGCTGCTATCATGCAGCGTTTGAGGCGAGCATGCCAACGCAAGAAGAACGGGAAAGTCCCTGGGGGTGAGGACGCGTTGTCTATGTATCAGGACACCGACAAACGTGTGGAAATGGCTCGAATGCTCATCGAGGCAAAGTTTGACAAGGACATGGTTCACAGTTCACACAACAAAATGCAGCATTCGAGTTAGTGTTCAAGTGCTCCTGATATTTGTGCCCCTGCCCCTGCAGAAGCAATTCTCTGTGCGGGTCAAGAAAATGGTGGTGAAAGAGAAGGAGAAGAATATTAAAGTGAATGCCGGCTGGTATTCCGAAGATGACACGCGTGAAATTTTGGGCTACTCTGAGTGCCTTGGATTTCCCATATAGTCCCTGACTGCCACCAAGCATGATATGTACATGAAAAAAACTGCTGAATTTCCCTGCTCGAACCCTGAACCATCATCCCCCAAAGCCATCCCAGGGAGAAGATAAAGAAGATTGTGGCCTACACCTCCCGCAACCCCAAGAAACTCCAGCGGCTGCCTAGCTGCAACCTCACAATTGCATTGTACACATTGAGTTACATGCTGTGCTCGTATCGCCGCTTCATTCAGCTAAGGAGAAACAAGTATGATGCTGAGGTTATCCAACACTGGGTAGAGACCTCCTGGTCTGGCGAGTTGATTGATCGTGACTTGGAAAGGACGGTGCAGGAGGAAGAGAGTGGCCATGATGGTCCCCTTTCCATTCCTATCCTGGGTTTTGAAGATGGGCCTGGTGGTAATGAAGACGATGCCAAAGCGATCGTGGGAGCCGAAGAAACCTGGATGGTAAAGTGGGAATGTGGGGTTTATATATATATATATGTATATATATATAACCTGTTATTTCTTTTTCGATAGGGTTTGGGGTTTCTGTCGGGTTTTTGGAATCATCTGGGGCTGGTGGGTTGAAACTCTCAGGAGGTGTCTACGCTGGATACACATATATATGGTTATAGATGTTCAACTTTCGGGTCCAGAACCAGGGAATTATAAATTAATGGGTTAGCAGGTACATGCACGACCTCAGCCATTACAAACCTGGCACCTTCCCTCTGGAAATGTAAGCAAACCCCGAATGTCATTACGAATCCTAAATAATATTTAACACCATCCACCCATGTCCATTCCTAGCTACCTAAGTATATATAATTTAAGTACAATAACGATTGGAGCAATTCAAGCAAAGAGTTTCCGCGTGGTGCCCCGTTTCCACACCCCATGAAACCCAACCCTCAACCTTAAAAGAACCCTAACACAGATTTGCCCAGGACCCCCGAGAGAATTTGAACCGTGGATGGGAGGAGATGCTTGGAAAAATCCTTCGGCTACGCGAAGCTTCCGACCTGATGCAGCTGAAGGATGGAACTGAGGATGAGGAGACCCTGCAGTTGCATGGAAGGCAGCAAGTTCAATTCCATTCCATATACCTGATTGCATTGAGTCCAAGTTTTGTTTCTCTCATCCCCAAATTTCGGAATCACTGCAGGCAAGCGAATGGGCTACGCAAGCACGCAGATGCGATGGAGCAACACTACGACAATATGTCGATGCTGAAGGCCACGGCTGCCATTCGAGTTACCCCGAAGTTGCTTAGCTACATAGATAAAGTCTGCATGCAGCTACACGTATCTGAACCCGTGCATGATCATATGGTGTTTGCATGCTCAGGCTGAAAGATGAAATCAACGTTGCCTTGGACACGGCTTCCGTCCTGAACCTTGCCTGCGTATTATCCTTTCCGATTCATTAATGTAGCGCACACTTACACCCAGAAGACTCATCCCAAAGAGAACACACGCAATCAATTTCTGTACATGCAAAGAACCCTGTAAATCCGGCTGGTAGGTACTTAAGCTTGTTAAGCCCAATTAAGTATACTGCCTACATACCGTACAAACCCTAGAAATCCTTGCAACCCTTCATTTTCTTGCGTAGTAGGGGCCCTGATAGCTTTGTGATCCCCATGAGCCCTATATGTGTTGAGCAGTTGGCTACATGAACCCTGTCAACCAAGGACCCTTATCAGTGTACCCTGGAACACTCCCAAACAAAAGTCATGTGTATAAGTGTTATATACATAGATCCCGGACTACCTCTGAATCCTCTTGCCTTCAATTCGCCCAGGGCAAGCCAGGCGGTGAGCTTGATGCAAAAGATCACGCCTGCTCTGAATGAGAAAAAAAAGATCAAGGTTCCCAAGAATGCGGGAAAGCCTAAGAGCCATGACAGCTCCAAGCCTGCGTCAAAGGCGCCGAAGGCTAAGGCTAAGTCTACTATTGCAAAGCAAAAGGCCAAGTCTAAGCCCAAGAAGAAGTGACCCCTGCCATGAGTGTGGCTTGAGAATTTTGACTCGTGGTTTTCACCACGTTGATTGTGTTCGGTGCTGAAGACAGCGCTACATCAAATCCCGGGGACCTTGCTGCTTCAAAAAATCCATGCCGGTGGAACCCATGGCACGAGGCATCTACATCTTACCCTGTTTTGGGCGCTAGCTTTGAAGGGGGTTTTCTAGCCAGGCCGTTGTGGTCGAGTTGGGAAAGAAGCAGCTCGTCAACTTGTGCGGGGCGCCTGGGCCCCAACTGCCGCCGATCGGTCGAAGCACCAAGCCCTGACGCACAAGACATGTTGCATTGAAAGTCTTATGTCCTGATTGCTTCTGTGTCAGTGGGCTCGAGTTTGAAACCCTCAAGGGTACCTAGAAGGGTTAGACAGTAACGGGCACCCCATGGATGAGTGGCTGGATGAGCTGCTAGTTTTTCCTAAACGAGTGCCGCTTGATCGCTTCAAGACACCATGCACCTCTTATAATCCTATATAGGACTATATATATATATATACGCTTAATGCCCTAGATACCCCTGAATTATTATACCTTTAATCCCTCCCAAAGCTTCTGCGCGAGCCTTCCAGGAAAACAACGAGCACGCCATCATCACCGTCACGGAGTGCCTGGGATAATCATGAGAGACTCTTGCGGACAAGGGATGAATGTGTTTTTCTGACGAGTGCCTTAGGTTTCCAGGGCCCGAGATTCTATGCATTAATTGTTGCTACTTAGGCGAGCCATCTCAATCAAGCTCGGATGGATCATGCCCGCCAAGTGTGCATTGGAAGTATCGGAAGTACTTGGATCAGGAAATCCTTGATCTACCTCGCCTACCGCGCCTATGGCATGAGATCATTGCTCGCAAGGATGTGTTCAAGTTAGCCATGCCTGAGCTGAGTGTTGGCCAGTCACCTGGTACAATCTTTGCATACACAGAAAACATGGTGGAAATGGTGCCTCCGCTTCATTATCATTCATCGGACAGTGCCTCATGTTCATGCACTGGCTAGGCTACCAGCTTGTGCTCCCAACTAAGATTGTGAGATGTGATGCTCCGCTGATGTACAAGATCGGCTTCACCCATGACCCTGTGAGAAGAATGATCTGTGGCTACTGTCTTCAGGGCTGCACGAAGATGCGCCTATTGTGCGTCACGCCCACAAGTATGTTTTGCAAGTGCTTGGAGGCACACCTAATTAGGGTGTTCAAGGGCCGGCAGGGATGTCAGAATGAAAGTCCAGGCGGCGAGGGCCCAGACATATTCTCTGGACCATATTTTGTCTACCTTGCTACAAAGCCCTTGAAGCTCTGAATGCTTGCGTGTCAACATCAAAAAATTCGGCCGCAGCTGATCCGCTCAACCCTTGCATGTCTTGAAAGACCTGTTGACTAGCTGAGGCCACTGGCTCTACAATATCTGGCTTCTCCAAAGCTGTGGGACAGTGCGATCGTGCTCACGATGCTGTGCTAGATGGCTTAGCGAAGGCTTCTGAGAATCGTGTGGAAGAGAAATGCCACAAATTGCCGCCCAGTTGCATTATCGTAAAGTGGCTCGCTGCCAAGGCCATGCTTTGCTTGAGTAGCAAACCCTTCTACAAGTAATTTGAAGCCTCAGTAGTCTCAGTATCATAGTTCATCCCTATGGAAATTTATATGGAGGCACCCAACCTTTCCTAGGTAACCCGGTTTAAAAACTATAAGGGCTTCCCCCAATGTATCACTGGACCACCTCTGCCTGTCCGAAGGACTGTGACTCCTTAATTTGCTCTATCTTTCTACGGTATCTCGGGATTGGACCTCAGGATCTGAACTAGGGTTCTGTGTAAGCTTTTATATATATATGTATGTATATATATATATTTTTAACATGTATATAGGGGTTTCATATCTATGTATTTATATAGGTACACACATACAGTTTTTGTTTCTCGGGTCTCTGTGGTTCAGTGGGCTTGCGGGCTTGACTGGTTCATGGAATTTTGTATGGTTCTTATGGGATCTCTTCTGCTAATGTGTTGATCTGGCACGGTATGCTTGAGACTAGCTGCTTCTTCAGAAATAGGGGTTCCCCCTTCCAGGTTCACAGAGTTTGGGCTCTCGTTGGATATTCCCATTTCACACATCGAAGTCGGAAACCACGAATGGCAACTGCCAATGATCAAGCCATCCCACCTGTACCAGCACCTTGCAGACCTGGGAAAACTAAGCCTGCTTTATGCTGATGAAGACCCGTCCATTCTACAACAGTTCTGGTACAGACATCGGCAGATTGAGCCCCAGAACACCATCCATGACTACTTTGATTCATCTGCCCTGGACCCTTCTCGGACAATACCACTCTTGTTGCACGGGGACGAGGGGCGTGGGCGCAAGCATAAACCTGTGATGGTTATCAACACTCACAGTTGGATTGGACTTGGTAGCCGCCCTTACAATCGATGGCACGAGGAAGCTCCAGTGCTCAAACGACAAACCATGGGGGTCAACATGCAAGGCTCTTCCGTGGCTACACGTTTCTTGGCATTAGTTCTGCCGCAGACAGCCTATGGAAAAGATTCTATCTATCTTGATAGAATGATAGATGCCCTGATTGCAGACCTGACAAAGCTACAAACGGTTGGCGTGCTCGTTCAAGGCGAGCGTTGGCGTTTGGCGGTGGTTGGTGCAACCGGAGATCTTCAATGGTTTTGCAAAGCTGGCAAGCTAGTTCGTTCATACAATCATGTTTCGAAGCGGTCTGGCCAAAAAACTCACACGGGCATATGTCATCTTTGCCTGGGCGGAACACCGGAGTTCAAATTCGAATGCTTTGCAGATAACCCATCTTGGCTTCCATCAGTGGGGCTGGAGGAGCCTTGGGTGGAGACTCCTGAGCTTATTCGACGATTCCATGTTAATAATGCGAACCCTGCAGATTTCTTCAAACCTGACGTTTGGCATTGTTTGCACCTCGGTCTTGGAAAGATCTTCCTTGCAAACTCGTTCGTGGAGTGGTTGCCACACCTTCCTGGCACCTTTTCTGACAGAGCATCTTGGGTTTCATTTGTTTGGGTATCTTTATGTGTGGGGTCTGGGAGTCTATTCTCTAGGAAGCTCCATCTAGTTTTCCTTTTCGTTTTCTTTGATCGAATGGTTTCATAAAACCCATCCTTGTAAGCATCTACATGCATGCAACCCTTGACAGGCTCCAATGTGGAACAACGGTTCGAGTATGTCAATGCTTTCACTCAGCGCTATCTGGCTCAGAAAAAGAAAAGGCTTTATTGTGGACGAATTTCTGCCGTGACACTTGGCTTCGAATCTTTTCAGAAGCCTCCTCAAGGAGGCTGGCAAAAAGCTTCGGACACGGCGCTTTTGCTGGAAATCTTCGAACAATTCTGTTCTGAGCATGCTGATTTGGCGACACGACACGAGATTCTACGCTGGACATTCACTGCAACATCCAACTTGAACTTTGCGATGCGCACGTTGTACAAGAGTGGGCTCTGGATGACACGCATGCAGGCTCGTGATGCGTCCGTGGCTGGCTTGAATTTCCTGAAATGCTACTCCACGTTGGCAACCTTGTGCTTAGCTGCCAATCGCGACCGCTATCCAATCACGCCAAAGGCACACTTCCTGCACCACTTGTTTTATGAGCTCAAGGTTCAGAGTGGGCAGCACACCTGGTGCCTAAATTTTTTGGGCACGAGTGTGCAAATGGACGAGGAATCTCGTGCAAATTATGGTTATGTTTTATAGTTGCACCCCCCAATTGGTTTCCATTTCGTATTCAACCAGGAAATCTTGCCTTACAGCCTCACACGCTGTTCAACGCAAGGACTTCGTGGGTGTGAATGCTCGACGAGCCAGACGTGTCGGCCCGCAGTACACGGCCTTGAGGTGTTTGCAGCGATATCTTGTTCATGCAGCTGAGAAGCTGACTCCCGAGTTCGCCGCCAAGATTGAAAAATGATGTCTCTCCCCCATGCTACCCAAAGAGAGTTTGAATGGAGGATCCTATCCAAAAGCGTTTTTGGGCCCTGCATGAGCATGAAACTGTGTGTTTCGAACACCCTCATTTCATATAATGGTCGGTAGGATTTTTTTCCGTACTTTATGGAAATCCTCCCAAGTAGCAGGAATGAAAAAAATCATACCCCCACACACACTGGCAGGGTTGAGGGCTTAGGGTTTAGGGCTTAGGGTTTAGGGCTCAGGGTTTAGGGTTTAGGGCTTAGGGTTTAGGGTTTAAGGTTTAGGGTTTAGGGTTGCGGCAACCCTCCAAAAAGGTTTGCCTGAGACCTTAGGTCAATCCCATAGCTCCTTGATATGAGCTCCCGTCTAAACTCCTTAAAGGCGGCTATCTGGGGGACTGTTGTAATATAGGGGAGTTTTATAGGGAATGTTAAGGGGGTACAAGAAAACCTTCTGGGGCCCACTACTGTGCGGGGATTGACCCGACTTAGACCCAAAAGAGTTTCCGATTGTTGGGTTTCCTATGAGCCATTGTCTAAACTCCTAGTATCCCCCTTAATAACCCCTATAGTAGCCCCCTATAGAATCCCCTATATAACTCCCCTTTAAGGAGTTTAGACTATAGGTCATATGAGGATTCATACTTCGGGGTCCTACAAAAAGAAGATCTTTGGAGTCTAAAGTGGGCGGTCTTCCTTTTGTAGTACCCATATAATCTACTATTTGCTTAAGAACCCTTAACAAATAAAGATAGTCATCCCTATATTACCCTTCTAAGGAAATATTTCTGTTTTTTTGGTGGCTCTTAAGCAAATAGTCGTAATATAGTAGCCCTTAAAGTAGATCACCCCGACCCCTCAACCTCCACACCAAGAAATGACCCTAATCCCGCGCAAAGATGGCTTTGCGCCGGCACCCTCATACCCGTACAATCGAAACCCACTTGAACATAGCGGTTCAGTCTCAACCTGAAGCACTAAAACCCTAAAGGCTCAGAACCTCCAGACCCTCGGCCGCAATTGAACAGTTGTCTTGGAGCTTGCGGGTGTTCAGCAAGGGCCTGTAGGTCACAGCTGGATAACGCAGAACCAAATGGAAAGAAAAGGTCAATTTAGGGTTTAGGGTTTAGGGTTTAGGGTTTAGGGTGGCAATGTAGGGGAAACGTGGGGACATATGTTTAAATGGAAGCTAGGGCTATGTAGGGGTTATGTGGGGATAGATGTTCGGTAATGAGGAGATGTTGGAAGCCCCGCGCACCCAAAACAAGGACCGAATGACCATCATACGACAGTCACCCCTCTTCTAGGTCATGTCCAGCGGTTGGGTTACCAAAATCCTGTTCTTAGTATGTTGAGAGCGGGTTCGAAGCGTTTAGGGTGTGGGCATTACCCTTGATAATTCCCATACGTGCCTTGGGGTCCTATGGTACTCCATTTCGAGAAGCTCCCATACGAGTCGTTTTTAGGGAGGCTCAACCATCGGGATTATATTCTTTAATGGAAAACACAACCAATAGAGTCTTACTCTCTGGGGACTATATTATTCACGTACGTCGGTTGATGAAAAGGTCAGGAGCCAGGCCCCAAACAAAACACTAGTCCAAGTACCTAATAATCATATACTGACCCAAACCCTGTACTATAATCACTACTACCCAAAACCCAAGTACCAAATTATTGGGTACTTGGACCCTCTGGGATACTCATTTTGAGAAACACGATAGAACTGGTGGTTTCCCAAAAAAGGGGAACCCCAATATAGACCCCAAAATATTCTAGTCCCTATTATGGGGAGCCCTAAAAGGGTACCCATAATTTTGGGCAACCCTAAACCCTCATCCCTAAACCCTAAATAACCCTGAATAACCCCTATAAACCCCTTTAAAGGTACACCTAATTTTTGGGAAGCTAAGCAAGTATAATTCAACCCTAAGAGGTATCAGCAGGGACTATGTGGGTCATTGCCCCCACACGGTTCAATTCTTGAAGAGCCTTGAACAAATAAATAGTGTATTTACGGTTTAGGGTTTAGGGGATTTAGGGTTTAGGGGATTTAGGGTTTAGGGTTGAGGGGTTTCGCAAAAGTAGGACCCCCTTTTATGGGAGCCCTAAACCGTGGAGTCCCTATAGTTAGGCTTATAACATATGTGGGATCTAGGTCTGGTGCCTCCATCTTGATTGTGCATGGAAGCCCCCATATTCATTCGAAAGTCCGTATCCCTAAGGGTCCAAGGACCCAAATAATCGGTTTTCAGGGCCCAAATACCATGAATAATATCGTGACTTTGCTATAAAACCTTGTTATTCGGATCCTTGGACCCTTCGGGTATGATCTTGCCATCAGCTTCGACTGTCCGTGAGTGGCCCGGGGGGGGGGGGAAGGGGCAGGACATGGAGGTCTAGTAGGAAACTAAGAAGCTTAAGAACCACCCTAAATACCCTAAACCCTTGAATCACCAGAATAGTCCAGCAAACAGATCACGTGAGGAGGCCTAAACCCCAAACCTCACCGTAAACCCTAAAACCTAAACCCTACAATTCGCCACCTGAAGCCCTTGCCACCTAACATTATCAACCCCATACTAGGTATGCAGCACGTTGGAAGGCCTACTTATGGGGTGGGGTTGGGGCTTAGGGCTTTAGGGTTTAAGGTTTAGGGTTTAGGGTTCAGGGTTGGAAATATGAGGATTCCCTATAAGCCTATCAGAAGCCTTGCGATATATTCGGGAACATAGTCAATACTAGGGGGTAGAAGGGTGTTAAATATTTAGGGGGAAGCCCTAGGGTACATATGTCCTTCTTTCTTGGGGGGTATGTGCCTAGCCGTGAGGTGCAGCACCTGTCAAAGGAAACGAGATGGATATTGCACGAACCGTGGTGCTGGAGGACTTTATCCACTTTTGGGCCTCCTTTTTCTTCGCAAAATACAGTCCCCGTTTATCTAAAAACAGCCAAGGTTATGGGAAAGTCAGTTGAGTCAGTTGGCGATGTCTTGTAAAAGCACCGCTGACACGCTGCGAACCCCATGATCACTTTCGAATGTAGCATGCACCAAGCACCTACAGCATAACCTTCTTTATGGCAAACCCACTCAACATCCCATCCCAAAACCCAAACATCTAAACCTCCAGCCCCTGAAGCTTAAATCCCTTAACCGCAAATGCCAAAACCCATATCCCTAAACCCCAAATCGAGAAAGCCCAAACTCTCACCCTATATCCCGAAAAACAGCCGTCCACTGCATTCCCAATTCCTAAACTTATCAACCCCCTGAACCCTAAACCCCTACAATCTGATGAACCCGTCAACCCCTAAATCCTAAACCCCTGAACCCCCAGACCCTAAACCTCAAACCCTAAACCCCTTAAATCCCTTAAGCCCCTCAAATCCTAAACCCTAAACCTCAAACCTTAAACCCCTTATAACCCAGTAGAACCCCTTAAACCCTAAACCCCTAAATCCCTAAACCCTAAACCTTTCAGCAGCCCGATGGCCTTGGCACCAAGGTGGCAAGGATGGCCAGAATTCCCCCAAGGATGGAGGTGAGGTTGATGATGGTCCTTCGATAGGGTTTAGGGTTTAAGGGGCTATAAGGGGCTATAAGGGGAATAGGGTATAGGGTTTAGGGGTTATGGTAGGGTTTAGGAGGCTTAAGGGGTTATAAATGTTTATACGGGGTTATAAGGGTATAGGGTTTAATTGTCTTTCTGGAGGGGTTTTAGGGGTTTTGAGGGGTTAAGGGTTTAGCTTTCTTTCCGGTAGGGTTTAAGGGGTTAGGGTGGGCTTATCAGGGTTTAGGGTAGTGATGATGGCCATCAGGTTTCTGGGTGCAATTGCGGACAACCACATGGAAAAAACATGGAAAAGACATGGCCCCTTGGAAGATATGGGAAACCCTAAACCCTGGATTTTGGGATCGCAGATTTGGGGTTAATGTTTTAAGGTGTATGGGCTTAGAATGCGAGGGTCCTCCGTGTCTATTTGAGGGGCTATACAAGGTGACAGCTAGGGAGCAAAAGTAAAAAATACTCCGAGTATCCCCCTTCATACCCGCTTGAACACACCCCTATAGAATCTAAGGAGTTCCGAGCCTGAACCCTAAACCCTAAAGCCCATATAACCCCCTATAATCTAACCCCCTTTAAGGAGTGCAGACTATGGCTCATACAAGGTAAACCCTATTAT